TCCCAGGCGTGTGGCAGGATGCTTTTTCCTCAGAGCAGGCTTCGTGTGGGTCGGGCTGGGCCTGCCGGGTCCTCTGTTCGCCCTAGGAATGCAAAAGGAGGAGGGAGGGGGAAAACCAGACTTTCTTAGCTGAGCGTTGCTTGGCTGTGTTAAACACCTCGTCCTTCACCAAGACTCTGTCCTGCTTTCGCTCTTCGCACATCGTTATGTTCCTGACAATTCCGACTTCATACGGCAGTGTTTTCTAACTGTGTCATGACAATTCGACTTTGGAAAAATCAGTGTCAGTATCCACAAATGTCTCTTGCGGTGCTGTGAAGTCAAGAATAGTGCCCGTGCCAGCCAGGAAATTAAAAGTATCCAGAGACAAGACTGAGCTTAATATATACTGTGTCTGCTTTGAAGAACAGCCTCGATACATTATGACCCGTGAATAGAAACCATTGCTGTGTGCGCTGGTGGTCTTCCTCCCCGCCCCTGGCTTCCAAGCACGTTGCAGCTCTACTGGGGAGGATGGTGCGGCTGCCTCTGGCTATGAGAGTGCAGCGAGGAGCAGTGCCATTGCTGGCGCCCATCAGGACACTTCTCAGTGTAGGAAACTATGTTTAAGTGGCTGCGTTTAAAAAAAAAAAAAAAAAAAAGGGGGGCAAATTCTGAACTAGATTTTTGTAGATCTTCACGTGACCTGCTCTGTAGCTCTCCGCATTTGTGAACCAAGGCATGTTTTAACACATAGCAGCTTTCATTAGATAATTCCTTCTCCAGGCAAGTTCTGCTAAAACACATACGTGTTTGTTCTTTGGGACTGCTTGAAGTATGTAAAAGTCATTGCATGTGAGAAACTTTTTTGGATATGCATCTTAAAGGTCTTTGAATAAGGACCTTGATGTTTTTTTTTAATAGGTAAGCTAAACATTGTTATGTTTTGTCATTCACTTCTGGGGGGGACTGTGCAACAAGAGCTAAACAGATGCTTAAGTAACAGTCTGGCGTATGGTAGCGCAGCACTGTAGATCTTGTTCCTCTGTTTATCAATCCTACAGAAGTAATTGGATTACCCAGAGTTGTGCAGTGCTTACAATGTCTTTCTTTTTGGCCCTGGAATTAACTTGAGAGAACATAATTTGTCACCAGTTACAATAATTTTGACTTGTCTTTTTAGTGTAAGTGAAGAAGCATACTTGATTTAGTTATTTTATTTCCAATAGGAAATTAACTTTTATGATAAGCAAAAATACTTGCAAGAAGGGCAAATTTCAAAAAACACATGGCTGCTTGGTGGGATCTAAGCAGGATCAAAAAGAATAATTTTTCCCCTCCCTTTGAGGGTCTAAGACTTGTTTTCGTTTTAATTGAATTTAGATGCTGGCATTTTTATCCATTAATGTACTCCTAGTAAAGAGTGCTGTGGATTGTGTGCATTTTTCCACTCCTGTAACAAATGTAAGAGTTTATTTGCTCAGTTAGGAAGTGTGTTGTAGTCCCGTTCCTCTAGTAATTTTGGTTTTGTTAATTTTTTTTTTTTAAAGATTATCCAAAGTGCACTGAGTATAGAGTTTCCTTTTAGGCTTGGACATTGAAGTTTGAGCAATTCAGAAAATTGAAGGAGGAAACTTGTCTTACAATGTTTGTTTTGTGGTTTTGTTAGTTGCAATAGCAATACCAGGGTGTTTCATCCAAGAAGCTTCGGGTGCTTTTTAGGGTCATGAATTTAGTGTTGATATGTAAAAGTGAGGCAGTACTAGGAGCCTCGTTTTGTGCTGTTTGTGAAAGCTGTGGATTGAAGCCTTTAAAACTTTAAGCATCTAATGAAAAGTTAGAACTTGGAGTGTTGTGGTATTCCTGTTCTGCATGTATGGCAGGGGAGTTTCAGGTACTGTTTCATGAGATGCACTGTGAAAAGAGCTGGTGTTTAGGGTAAGTAAAAGTCTGGAGACGTTTTTGCAGATTGCTGACCCTGGATTTTGTTAGTGAATGCTTGTAGTTTAGTAACTTTGCAATCTCCCTGCTTTCTTTATTCTTAAGTGTTTTTGTGTTGGCTTTACCATTTGGCACTGAATGGCAGTATAGTTCGCTGACAAAATGCAGGGAGCTGTTTCAGACTTGCTGGGTCTTGTTGTGTTGTGATTTCAAATATTTTGCCTTTTTTTATAAGCCTAAATTATTGGCATTGTCAACGTTGATTTGATCTTACTTCTCTTTTTCCTGAAATTACAGCTATTTGCTTTCATTTTGTGGGTGAAAGGTTTGAGGCTTTAAACAAGTGTCTTTATGGTATGATTTTTCAAGACTAGTTCCTGCTGCTTTTTCTACTGTTTGCTGATTCCTCTATTCGTTTTAGTACTAGAGCCCTTGTTCCCCGAGCATAGGAATCAAACATCTTATGAATCATTGCTTTCCACTCATATTGACCAGGGGCACCATCATAGTAGCAGTGATGATTTGTCGTGCCTTGTACAGGATGATCTGGTTTGGAAAGCGAAGCAGGTAGATCTGTTACAATGCACAGAACTGTGTAACTACTACAGACGCTTCTACTGCTGGGATAATGTGCTGCTGTGCAATTTGGTTCTTACGCAAAGTAAACTAAGACAATGACCTGAAACGTCATGTAAAGGGACTGGATATTCTTACAAAATCTTTCAGTGATAGTAAAACAGGATATAGTTTTGAAGTTACAGACTTGAGATCTGTAGAGAACTGAATCTCTTTCTGACTCCTAGAGGTTAGTAATCCTGCATATGGACAATAAAAATGCCGTTTGTGCAAGTTATTGGAACAAATCACAAGTTTTTGTTTTTCTTTCTCTTTCTAGTCAGGAGTAGAAACTAGTGTGTTTTTATTCCTGCAAATAGTCCTGTGATGTTAGAGTTCAGATATGTTAGAAACGGAAAACTTTGGTGGGGAGCAGAGTTGCTATGACTGTGTTACCAGTGAAGACTCATTTAACATTTCAAAAGTGACTTGCTTGGAGAACTGAGGGTAAGCGTCTAATTTCTTCAAAGCTTGGGGTCAGTTTTTGGGCTTCAGCTTGAAGGGTGATGAATCAGTGCCAGTAGTCCAGGTTGTGCTCAGGTGGGTATTAAAAAAATACATATTTGAAAGTATTCAAAACAGAAACTGAGTGGATCTGGCTTGAGGGAATGGGTCAAACTGATACAAAGAGCACTTTTCTGTCTTTTTTTCCTCCGGACTGAGACTAGTGCAGATAGGGAAGGTATTTGCAGACTTTCCCTTCTGCCCGTCCCTGGACTTTTAACATTCAAATAAGTTGTGCATGTTCAACCTCTTTAAGGGGGGAAAAAAAAAAGGATTGTCTGCCACTTTAATCTGGAGATAAAGACCCATCTGGATGGACTTAATACAGAAGGTTATTATGCGTTTTTGGTGCTTGATCCTAAAGTTCAAGTCCAACCATACAAAGGATGTTTCTGTGTACTCAGCAAAAAGTTTCTGTACAGCTGGGAAAACATGCAGTAGGCACCTGTACATATTTTGCTTATTTTGTCTACTTTGTTAAGCACTAAAATATAAAAGGAAGATTTGAAATGTGATCGACAGGGTATCCTTGTTTCTAACTGCTTGGGAAGATTTCCTCATTGAGCACCATCTGAACCTGAGGCAGTGTCTGTGTAAAATCCCTTTGTGCTGCAGTGGAACATAAGTAAAGGCCTGATCCAAAATATGTAGCAACAAGCAGTAGTACCTGATCTCTCACTTGTCTTATCTATCAGCAGCTAACATGAAAACTTTGATGACTTGAATTCATGTCTTACAGAACATAACACTTAAACCTTTTTGATGAGCTTTAGTGCTCAAGTTGTTGAATCAAACTGGTCTGTACAATTAATTCTTATCCTGGAAAGATACCAAAGCACTATAGTTCTTAGAACTGCAACTTTTAAGAATTGTGGCCTTAAAACAAACATGCTAGAAGGAGGTTGTTACTTGATGTTGTTTTGTTGTCATAGAAAAGAAGATGGCTGACCATCTTTTTGAAAGTAGTGACTAGTGTTGATGCAGTGAACTAAAAAATGTTTGCATAGTTCGCTTTCTCTTTACACTGATAGGGTGTCACAAGTACTTTGTTTACTCTCCTCACAATGTTCTTTTTTCAGTCAAATATCTGAGCTTTTTAGTATACTTCCTGTATTTCTTTTTTGAAGTCTGTTTTTCACTGGGAGTTAGTGGTGTAAGATTGTACTTCTCATTTTTGTGTCTGTGGTCTATTTCCAAAGGATTCTTCTCTCATCTCTTACGTTCTTCACAGTTTCTCTTCCATCATTAATTAAACTTTTCACAGGCAGACAGACTTTCATAATACTACCTTGCTGCTATTTTCACACACAGAAGTTAAGAAATAAGATGCCTTGGATAGTTATTTTCACTGGACAGTATGACAGCTGTCGTCCTCCTTATTACACGAAATCAGACTGTCGAACTGATCAGATTTTTTTAAAATGTTTTTCTTGCAGGAAGCAAAACCTTCAGCTGAGGACTTAGGAGATAAGAAGGAAGGGGAATACATTAAACTCAAAGTCATTGGGCAGGTGAGTTTTTACGTAATTACTTGTTGACATTTGGTGGAGGTGTGAGTTTTTGCATTGTAGAAATGAACAAATGAAAGTTGCTACTTTCATTTCTTCAGTGTGGATCCTCCCCTGCCATAAACTACTTACCAATTGCCAGTAATGTGTGGTAGTATACTCTGGTGTGTTTTGGGTTTGTTTGGGGTGTTTGGGGTTTTTTTTTGTTTGTTTAAAAAAAAAGCTTGAGTAATTGATTTCTATGACTCAGGATTTGGCCAGTGTGATCCCCATGTTACAACTAGGGCACCTAATGCATTGAGGGATTAATTTATCCAATGATATGAGTGAAATATGTGGCAAAATCGATACATTCAGGTCTTCAGAGTTCATGTAGTACACTAAGCATGGGGTCAACTTTCTTGGACAGGGATAGGAAGAGGATTCTTCTAGCTGGTGTGTTGGTAGATGTGAATGGTGGATTAAAAGTCTGAATGCAAATTGTGTTGGAATGTGAATGTCAAGATCCTTCTTGAACAGAATTCCTTCCGTGCAAAGAACCCCTAGCTCGTAAGAGTTAATTCAGTATTGTTTGTTGGAGTACTAGCACGATTGCTGTGCTGTTGGCTGGAGATGGATGACTTGAGGTAGGACTGACACAACTAGTGTCGCTGTTGCGGGATTAATCGGCAATAAGAACACTTTCAGAAGCTAAATGTGACACATGTGCTTTTTGCACAGAGCCTCTTGCAGTTTGTCTTATCTGTGCCCGTTTTGACAGTTGTGGTTACTTGTATCTTATGGCTGGCAGGAAGGACTATAGAACAATGAGACCTGAGATTTCTCCTTAAGTTAGTGGTGTGTTGCCAAGTGTGCCTGTATCCCAGCTTCTAGATAATTACTCTAATTGAGCTAGGTTTTGTATATATTTTGAAGCGCAAGCTCTAACTTGTCTCTTCTGGAATCTTAGAGAAGAAGTCCCTTGCGTGTGTGTATTTGTATTTCATAAGTACATCAGCTGGTAAAGATGGAAGCACAAATTGAACCATGTATGGTTTTTAGTACTTTTAAATCCAAAACCTCCATGGTAAGCCTAAGGCTATACGATGCCATCTATTTTAAAATAAAACTTCCTGTGGAAGTGCATGATGAATTTAGTGGCTGACAAATCATCTTGCAGATTCATGTTAGGATGCACTAAGGTATGCACGGTGATAGTTCAACTGCATTCCGTGTTAGTTTTACATAAGTTTTTCTTAATAAAAGTCTTAAAAATAGCATAGTTAAAGTAAGCAGTTACTACAAAGAGAGTAACTTTTTTCTTTTCTGTTTTAGGACAGCAGTGAAATTCACTTCAAGGTGAAAATGACAACACACCTCAAGAAACTCAAAGAATCATACTGTCAAAGACAGGTTTGTGAAACAATTACA